GCTAATACCTTGATCTGGCAGTGTGCTATTGGGTCTTATCAGCTCAGGTGCTGCTACAGTTTCCACTGATTCAAGCCATATTCAAGCAGTTTAAATTCTATCCCAGTCCCTGTAATTAGTGTTTCCATTCATCTGATTCTAGACCTGCACAGATGGGAAATGGTTTTTGGAAACACTCAAGGAAATTTAGAAGTGTGTCTCTGAATCTGAAAGTCTACCTGCTATCAGTGATTCAAAAAACCTCTATTCATCTCTAAAAACACCTAAATTCTCAGCACAAAATAATATTTATTTAATTTGTTTACAGTCTGTCAGAATAACAAATAGAAGTAATGCTTTTTGTTGGTTTTCTATCAAATATTTCTATCAAATATTTCTATCTTTTGAGACTCCTACGTCTCAAAAAAAAAAATTAAAGATTATTCCCTGTAGGTGATTTAAAGTCTTATCTTAGCAAAACATTTAAGCATGTGCTTAAATCAGCCTATATTCAAGAGATCCTCTAAATCCAACCTAGGAACTACAAGTCCCCTTAGACAGACTATCTTCCAGATTGGATCATGCCTCTAGAGTCTCTGAATGATAAGGAAAACCTACTGAAAAACTTCAGTTGGAGTGAAATATCCTGACCCCATGTGAGTCAAGAAGCTCCCACATTTGGTACATCCTTCCTTATCTATAGGTACAGAACTCTTCCCCGCTTCCACTGAGTTCATTGAAAGTCCTGAGATTCATTTCATCAGGAGTGGGAGCCAGACAGAAATATGGTCAGTTTGATGAAAATGCAGTGCACATGTTAAAATAAAAGTAGGATCACATCTGCATTTTGTCAGCATGCTGAATAATAATGTGATTTTTTTTAGTGTTATTTTTTTGGGAAAAAAATAGTTTGACTGTTCTTTCCAAAGGAAACTTGGCAGCAGTAAAAACTAAATGCAAAATTTAGTGTTTTAAAATTTTAGGCCACCAACATTGATTTAATAGTCTAAAATTATGTTCTTGCTCTGGGAGAGCTCCATACAGACTTACACTTTTTCTTTTCCCTCAAATCCTGGATAAAAAAAAAAAAAAAGTCATTTAAGTCAAATATTTCAAGTGCCATCTTGGAACAAATTTCTGTAGCCAAATTATAAATGCAGATTTTTAATGGGCAGGCAGACTTCCACTATGCTAAAACCAAAAATCATGGAAACAATAATTCGTCCTCTATTTACAGACAGGCAGCCAGACCAACATATAGAAAATGCATATCTCTCAAATATATTTAGGTATTTGTCTTAATAAGGGAAGAAACAATTACTCTTGAGAGCCATAGCCATAAGTGAATCATTGGGTATCTCTCTTGCACATAAAGGTGGATGGCATATTTGCCTAAAGATGTGGCCTTTGTCTCTCATTCTCTCTCACCCTCTCTCCCTCTCTCTCTCTCTGTGAGGGAGCCTCATATATAGCAATAATTTATTCACCACTGCAGAATAAATAAGGATTAGAACCATACACGTGTGTGAATTTCTAGTCGCTACTCATAACGATAGTGATGCAGCCACTATGTTCTAAATATAGATGTGAAAGTATGTGACCATTTAAAAAATATCTGGGAATACTTTTTGGATTATTATCTTCTGATTTTTTTTTGTTTGTGCAAAAGCCTTTGCTATGGATGCTGTCATTCTTACTGTGTTAGTGTTATTGGTTCAGCATTCTCATTGATTGGATCATTTTTATAGTACGTCATATAACTGAATTGGAATGGTGGATTTCAGAAATATACCTCAATTTTTGAGAAAGAGAGAAATCTGGGAAACACTGATTGCAGCCTGTGGAATACTTTATCCCAATAAATCATAATAGAAAGAAAATTCAGAAATCAACAACATGTGCACCTTTGGGTATTTGGGACTGTTTTTATGGTGGGGTTTTTTTTCAATTTAGCAGCCATGGCCTATTTAAAAAAGGACAGATTGGCTATGATGTAAATTGGATAGTTGTCTCCACATGCTCCAGATAATTTGAGAAGTCTGTCCCACCTTCAGTTGTTTTCTTTCGGCTAAATTTTAAACAACTCTTACTATCTTAATCCAGTTCAACTCCATTGAGAACAACAAATTTAGAAATTTTTTTTCCATTTCCACTCATTTTTGATGTAGACGTTGCCTAGACCTTCAATTTCTTAGTTCTAGTCTACTCTACTTTCACTGGCTTGTTTACACATAATGCAGGGCATGCAATGATCAGATCACTTCAGCCCATGCTTAACTTCAGTTGTATCTCTAATCCTATGGGTGGGATTTACAGGGTTAAGGACAGGTATGTTGGTAAATTATCTGTCTGAATGGAGACAGTGAACAATAAGAAAAACTCTTCTAACAAAAAAGCTAAAGTTCATCAAATGCAAAGCATTGCAGGGAGGCAAGTATAGAAGATAGAATGTGCATGATTTTTAAGATGCCCAAATTTTAGGAATTCAGGTTAAGGTTTCCATGGTGATGCTATCTTCATCTACTTCCTTCTGAACTTGGGTCTCTGCTGAGTTACACCCACATAAAAGGATAGAACAGGGTCAAAGGTTTTCTGCGTATTTCAAAGTAAATTACAACAGAAGGCATGGCACTTCAACTTAAGTGTCTTGCATCCTAACATGTCAAAGAATTAGTTTTTCCTTTAATGTCCCTTTATTTTCCTTATTATATGTTTCTCAAAGGAAAACCTTGATTCAAGAATGTGAATTAGAAGAAAATAATATATTTTATGGAAGATATATTCTTTAATACAGGCAACATGAACTCAGTGTAAGATCCAGTGAACAGAAAGGTGGCTTGTGCCACTTCTGCAACAGGACAATCCTGAGGATTGTCCAAACAAACCTTTCTCCAGTTGTTCTAATTTGGATCTAGTTACCCCTGTCCATAAGCATCCCCAGAGAATAGTAAATCTCTGGCCCCTTTCTTTTCCTGTCTCAGCTGCTAGTGCCCTAAGTAAGAAGAATGCAACCTAACAGACAGTTTGAAGTGCTGGAGTAGTACAAAGAGAGTGCTATAATGATGACAATTTAGACCACAGATCTTTAGTTCTAGGAAAAGTAAGCAAGCCTTCATGACCGTGTCACCCCACCCTACATGCTACTGTGATTTCTCATTTCCTCTGCTACATGAAGCATAAGCTGCTTGCTTCCACTTTACAGTTTCTATGAGGCCTTTCTCTGCCTACCCAACCTGTAGTTTTTGCTCAGTTTCCAGCACTTCATGCCAGCCATACCAGCCTCTGCTGGCTGTGGTTGTGGGCATCCTTTGTTACATTTGCAAACAAGTCCCTTTGGGCTCCCTTCCATGCCTCTGCACTCACACATGAGGATAATTTCCTATAAACATCTGCAAAAATGCTTTATTGTCCTCTCTCTTATTCCTCTCTAAAACTCTACCTATGAACAGCTTGAAATCAGCCAAACTGCTGGTGTGTTAATGCAACCACCTGTTATACCACTCAGTTTTGCTTTGTTGTTTCTTCATACTCCCTTACACTCTTCTATCCTATATCTGTCCCGCTTTGATTATATGGTTCTTGGAGACAACATCTAATGCAGATTTTAATCTATGGCTAGTACAAATTCTGGTAGCACAGATAGCATAAAAATGCATGAGGCAGTTGTGCAGGAAATGTGCATTGTCATGAAATGATATCAGCTATGGTAGCATTGTCACAAAATACAATCACTGCATAAAATACTGATGTGACTGACTGATCAAAGCTCTTTGACTAAGTGAAACCCAGGATATTACCCTCTGTCATTAAATCTTCAGATAGACACATGTTTGTAAGTAATTTTTTTCTTCATCAGCAATGATCAGAAATCTCCCTTTTTGAAGTGATTTTGACAATATCATTACCTGTTGGCCACTGTCTTATCTGATCTGGTCTTCATTTTCATTTCTCACCTACCTGTTCTGCAGTGCAGAATTATGTTTGTGTTTATATGTTTATATACTGCCAAAAATATTTATGACTGTTGTCAATAATTAATAATTATTGACAGTGAGAATATTACATGAAGTACTTTGTCAGAATGAATCTATAAATTACAGGAGGTTATGCAGGTGAACAATCAAGAGTGTTTTGCATTTCTCATGTTAACTCAAAACAATCCTTTTAGAAATACTGCTGTAAAATCCAAGCTGGCCAAAAACAGATTTGGACTTCAAAAATGCCCACTCATGTTTAGGCTGATTATTCAATATTTCTTCTCTTTGTTTCATAAATATAAATAACCATTTGAAGGAAAATTCTTCCTAGAAACATGCATATCTCAAACAGGAAAAATAAAGAAACATTTTGAGAAGTGAGAAATGCTCTGTGATATGAACATGCTGCTTCTATTAACCCATTATTGGTTTTTCTTTTTTTTTTTTTTTTTGTTCATTTTACAAGAAGCTCAGGGTGTCCAGGTCATGAGAACATATCTTTCCTTTTCTTTCCCATTTCCTCTTTCTCTTTTTCCTCCAAAAGCCTGGGACTCGGCTGACATACCCTTGACATTAATTTAAAACACCTTCCAACAGTCTCCTTGTCTCCTCGTAAGGGATAGGGCTGTTCTTTTTAAAAAGCAAAGCTCACAGTCAATTTAAAGACTGTAAGCTATGGCCCGTGTTCCACTCGAGGCATCGGACTTTCCCAGGTGTGAGAAGGGGTTCATAGAAAGTTCAGTTGTGCACAGCAAGACTGAAAAACGGAAAGGAGCGAGGAAGAAGGGGTCTCCCCCCGCCCAACACACACACACATCTCTCCCCGCCGTGCCTCCCGCCCCACGACTGTGCAGACCGCACCGCATGCACATCGGAAATGGACCCGGCGAGGCTCTCGGCGCAGCATGCACACGCGGGAAGGAAGGGAAGGGAAGGCAAGGGAAAGGAAGGGAAGGGAAGGGAAGAGAAGGGAAAGGGGGATGCCTTCGCACGGTCTGACCATCACCATAAAGAGTTAAAGAGAGAGTGAAATGGCTAACGTACACACACCCCGCTCCATACCGGAGAAGAGTCTCCCAGCTGAGGTTTATGCTCTGTGAGGACCAGGCTGAAACTGACCGCCCCCACGGCCACGCTGGACACCCCTAACCCTATCTCCAGCACGGAGAGCACCAGGAGGCTCCCGATGATCTGACTGCTGGTGCACATCCTCCCTTGGTCATCCTTCCTTCCCGATCAGCCGGGGAAACCGCGCATCCTTCTTCTCCTCCGGCGCTCCGGCGGCCCTAAGTCGCCCCCAAACTTTTCTTCCTTCGGCGGCAGCCGGGGCGGAGCGGCGCATCCGCGGCCGACGGGAGCTGCCGAGGGGCGGCGGGGCGGCCCCGGCACCGCCGGGCCCCGCGCAGGGAGCGCCGCGACGGCCCCGAGCGCGGCCCCGAGCGCGGCCCCGAGCGCGGCCCCGAGCGCGGCCCCGAGCGCGGCCCCGGCGCGGTGGAGCTCTCCAAGGTGCCGACACGGCGGTGGGTGCGCGGCACCGCGCTCCTTAGGGGCTGCGCCTCCACCGGGAAAGTCGACCTTGTCTGCTCGCCTCCTGCGCTCTCATTGGAATGACCTCACCGGGATTTTTCCCCCCCCCTCGTCTTGTTTCTCTCCCCCTTCTCTTCCTGGGCTGGGGGCGGAGGGTAGAGGAGCGTGGCGAGCCCACCCCGGTTGTACTTATGTATGAACGCAGACCCAATGCAGGGGCGCGGCGCACGGCAGCCCCGCCCCGGGGCCACGGGCGCGGCACCTTCCCCGGTGCCCCCCGGCTCCCCGCACACCTCCGCCGTCCCGCGCCCGCCGCGCTGCCCGCAGCACCGGGAGCCGCGGTGATCCAGCCGCCAGCTCCCGCCGCGCAACCAAGCGCGAAAGGTGACCCCCTCAGTGGTGTGTGCGCAGGCCTCCCTCCCCCCAGGTGCTGCTGTGAAAATTCAGGAGGAAGCCCATTTTCTTCTTCTATTAGTAAGAGGTCTGGAGCGTGTCGTGTCTCACCACTGCAAAACTCCGATCTTCTCCAGAACCCTACTGCCAAAATACCAATTTCTGTAGCCATTTCTGTCACTCTGACAATGGACAGAACTGTGTCAGTCCCAAAGTAAATGAGGAACAAAGCAAAACAGAACAAGAGATCCAGGGCTGTTACTTGAGCCATACTGGATTGCTTGATATCAATCTTTATTACTGTGCCTCAGATACAGAGAATGCTTTGCCACTCTGACTACAGTTTTACAGTCCAGATGTGTTGCACAACATAGTAACACATGGACACTCAATCTAGTACGTTGGCTCTCCTAAACATAGGTAATTAACCTTTGGTCATTCACCTTAACAAGAGGGCAAAAGAGCTACCTGGAAAATTGTATCCCCCAAATCTAGATCAGGATTCAAAAACATTGGCATCCTGAGTGATTTAGCTAATTTTCTCTATATACATGCTATTTTTTTATTCTAAGTAAAATATATATGGAATTTATCCTTGTATCACAAATTACAATTCTTAACCTGTATATAAAGCCTACATTCAAGTGTTGGAATCCAGAAGGGCAGTCTAGACTTGTCCGTTAGTTTTATGGTGCAATTTGGAAACAAGAGTATAAGATTAGCAAGGTCCTGATTGAATTTACTTCTTTGGACTCCACAACCTGTCTTGTGTATTGAGAATAGGCATTGTATATGCTTGAGAAGATTAGATCCACCATTACAGCCCAGAGTTTAGTCCTTATTTGTAGAAATCTTGAATACTCAATTGCTGTGAGTGGCATTAGACTGTCATTGAAGTCTCTCACCTTAAGCTGTTTATGTTTTTTTTAGGTATTCCAGAGTGAGAGGAAGAGGTCTTGAGATAGGATCTTAATGCTTTCTAGTTTAAAACTTCAGCTGTTTCATATTTTCTCACAATTTTACCACTTCACAGAAGTAGAACAGGTAACTAAATCTGAAGGAAAACTGCATTATAGTTAAAGCTGAATTGTCCCCTTTTCATTTCTTGTTTTAAATGGCACCTGACATCTCTTATCATTAAAAATCAAGGCACAGCATAAAAGTTCCTCAGCTACTATATTTGTGTAGGAGGATGGAGAAAGCACAGATTTTCAAGTACCCACATGGGTGTAGGAAGGTGTTTCTGCAATGACAGTATCCTTATTATGTCAGATTGTTATAAACGTTGAAGTGTGCTAAGGTGCAATGATTTTACTGCTCAGAGTATATTTTACCAGGTCCATAATAACCAGTGGTGATAAGAGAGGAATTGCATAATGACAGATATAATTAATATACTTAATACTTACAGAGAGATAGAGTGCCTGTCACATCAGAATAGAGCTCATGTGACAGAAATAAGATTTCCATAAACAGCTTGTTTTATGTAACATTTCCACTTCAGTCATAATAAGCTGTCAGAAATATGGGGGGAAAGAGACCTTGTGAAAAGTGTGCCCTAGATGGAGATCACTTCATGCAACAGTTATTAAAACAGGGATCCAATAAAACTGGAATCCAATGGCAGGAGAGGAAGTGCTCTGGGTGCCCACTTCCTAATCTCCAGACTGCCGAGAGGTGAAGAACTAAGCAAGACCTCAGCCAGATTTAATATCACTGCTCAGGAGGAGCTGCACGAGTTATCTCTGTTTCACATCTTTTCAAATAAAGACAGAAAGGAAATGTAATATTCTAATCACTATATTTTTAAAATGGAAAGATGCAGTCTTTGTAAATGTAATCACTTAAGTTTATTTGTACTATGTTGCTGCATCATCATTATGTGCTGATCTAGGCAATTAACTTTACACACGGGACTATTCATGCATACATTTCAGCACATGCTTACAGCTTTGCAACTTTAAGGTATTTAACGAGTCTCAACTGGCTGGTTTTGAAATGTTTCCTGTATTTTTGATTCCTGTAACAAAAAAGATTATGATGAAATATGAAGGAAAAAAAAATCATTCAATATGCAGGCAAGTTTTCATTATAACTGCAAAAAGTTAAATACTAAAATCCTATCTCCAAAGTAAAATTAATTAGAGTCATGAAGGCTTTAGATTTTTTAATTTAAACTGTTGGGTTCATGAACAAAAGTCATCAATCTTCTTGTCTTCTTTGAAGGGAAGCTTTTTTTTCCTCTTTTTTGTCATTGGAGACTTTAAAAATGGTTCATGACAAAAAAAATTCCAGTCACAGAGCGGGATGAAGGGTAATTGGATGACATAGTACTGGCAATGAAGAAGTAGAAATCAGAGCACAAAGATTCATTTATATTAAGTCCCTTTTGTATGTCTCTGGTGACCAAGAGACCCAAAGAAGGTCGTAACCCATCCATGGGAAATTGCCTGTTTTATATAACACTTTTGAGCATGTATTCATAGCTGAATACATCTTGTTAAAGTGGTTGAGTTTGTTTATTTTCTAATTCCATGTGTCTCTAAAACAATACTGTAAAGATCCTTATTATGAGTAAGAACTGGGCCTATAGCACTAAATCAGAACTCAGATCATTGAATCTAATTCAGCCAGGAAGTTGTGAATAAAATTGAAACCGTACACCATCCTATGGCTGCTTAGAGGATGAGAAATAATTTGGTGCAGTTCCAAGAGGGGAGATACTCCCTAAACACTGGTGTTACTGATATGCAGGTATAAGGTAGCAGCTTTGGACAAATAAACAGAAATATGGGTGATCTTGGAAGCTGGCTTACTCTTTTACCTTATGGATTCATTTTCTAGTCAGTATCAAGGCATGTCAGTCAAGCTATCTTAGAATATGTGACATAGACTAAAAGACTTCTACCAGGACATTGTTTGCGAAATGGAAAAATTCAGCCTCAATGGCAGCTTGCAAATCCTTTTTTTTTTTTCCACAGGTACCTTCTGCTTTCACCTTTACTTTGCAGATTCCATTTCTTTACACTGTTTTGTCACCTGTAACCCTTCAATTCAGTTTGACTGAAGTAAAACCAAGGGAGAGCAGTACTCTAACATGCACCTTTTAAGTGTTTGGGGTGATACAGTGCCTTGGGTTCTACAGAGAGATTTCATTCTAAAACCAGGTCTGTAAATTGCATCCTATCTATAGAAATGTGTGCAAAACAGCCTTTAGAACATTTCCTCTTTTTTTTTTTTTTTTTTTTTTTTTTTTTTTTTTTTTTTGTAAAATCAACTCTTAGTAGCTTTTACTCCTTAGTTTGTTCATACTCTTGATTAGTATCCACTGGTGTTATAAAATGGAAAGCAAATCCCATCAGAATCTCTTATGGGAGAAGATACGTGACTGTCATTGATTTTGTCTGCTAAAAGTTCAATAATCAGGTAAACTTTCTGCTAAATGAGTAGCTAAATTCTAGCAAAGCTAGGATCTATAGCACTAAAGTGACTGGTAAGGTTGATAGGTCATAATTGTTTTTCTTAAATCCAGTCATTAAGGTATTGGTTGATAGCACACAGACATAAAAATCTGATGACATAATCTAAAACTAGTTGGCACATATTTTCATTCAAGAGAAGTTAGAGGATTTGTGACAGTCATTTATGTTGGATGGAAAATTTCACATATTTTCAACTTAGTTTGAGTAGTGAAAATTGAATGAACTCTGTATAGACCAAATTAAAAGCTGCTGTATATTACTCTTTCTTGGGTTTATTCTCAAATACCACTTTTTGTCTACAACTGCAAGTAATTCTTTTGCATTCAGGCACCTTTTACTAACTTGATTAGATGATTGAGGAATCCTCCTTCTGTAGAAGAAATCAAAAATCTGTACAGAAATCCTGTCTCCTGCTACTCATCAAAACATTAAGAGTGTGTGCGAAATCACTCCCATGTTAAATACAAGGGTATGAAACACAGCGTCTTTAAAGTAACTTGCCTAACATTGTACATCAAGTCTGTAGCAGAATTGAGAAGACCTCTTTTATCCAACACTAATGTCCTGTTAAATAAGCACTCTTTCTGCATTAACACAGTTTCTGTGGAAACTGCAAAAAAGAATGATCATCAGAAAAGGCTACATTTTCCCATGTACTGTGATACTCTGGCTCCACAGCAGATGATTCCCTGCCAGTGAAGATCTTTAGATGCATCTGCAGCCCCATGTTCGCCCAGCAGCTCTGCTCCAAATGTGTAATTAAAGCAAGTACTCCTCTGTTACTGACATGGATTTTATACTTGTAAAACAGTTCTTGACCACTTTTTGGTGCAGTAGTGCCATGCTAAATAGCTTCTCATAGAGATCTGGGGAATATACATCATATGAGATGACATTTAGTAACTGAGAGGGATGATCTTTATAGACCCCTTACCTCTGATCCACTATAAGTTTTCACCCACTGAGGAATCTGAGGCAGAATGGAAAACTGGTTGCTTTAGGAACTGTTTTGAAGTGCATGGTCAAACTCAGTGTGTATGAAATAAATTTAAATTTACCAAAACATCACTAAAATATTTGCATTTTTCCATAGGGTGAACAGGTCTTTTAACAGGGAGATAGGAGATTTCAATGGTACTTTCCGAAATGGTTTGGGATGGTGGTGGCCTTTCAGCACAGATTGCTTTGAGAAGAAGCTCTCTCTGCTTAGGAGGAAGAAGTCCTTTAAGCTGTTAATGGAAAGTTTTCTGGAGGTAGTATCTGTCTAGGATTGTACCCTGCTAAGAAAGGGTACAGTAG